CCACTGATGCGGAAGCTGTCTCCTGTGCTTCGTGGCTGCTGTGTGGGGCGGGGAAGCACTAGAATCCCCACACACTCCCTATTTCTCAGGGAGCTACAAACCAAAGGCTTGGGTGAGCTGAAAACCTGAATGGTGTCTGTGATGGTTCCCCAGTAGGGAACAGCTCCAACTGAGCTGGTCCGAGATCTGAAGGAAGGTCCACACAGTTTGCCTGGCAAGTGGTCTCCGTTTTCACAAGTCACTGGCAGAGTCTCTAACTCCTGATTCCTGACGGCTCCCTGCATGCAATGTGTGTGACAGAAAGCAGGCGCTGCCCTCTGGGTGAGAGTCCTCGGTAGTAGGTGGCAGAGGCCCAGGGCCAAGAAGGAGTAGAGCTTGGTTCTGTAAGGAGAGGGACGGGAGGAAGTGTCCCGGGGCCCTGCTGCTTCCTGCAGGGGCTCCTCGGACTGCCTGCTGCAGGAAGCCGGTTAGAAATTCCTGTCCCAACAGTCAGGGTGCCACTGTACAGCGTCTCCAGGGACTCAAATGCACCGGCAGGAGGGGAGAGAGGCTGTGTGGAAAGGCCTTGGGGCTGGCAGGTCTGGACCACTTACGGAGCCTGAGTCGGTCCTCTGACCTCCTGGGACTCAATTTTGTCACCTGAGAACAGAGGGAATGCTACTTACCGCAGAAGGCTGCTGTGAAGACTTAATGAGTCCCAGTGTGAAAACAGAGTGGCAGAGGCCTGGTTGTGTTGGGCAGTCATCCACACCTTGTCCAGCAGCTCATTAGGGGCTGGGGGTCCAGGCACCCCCCCCTTTCTGTCCTGTGTTAAAGCCTTTCCCAAGACACCACAAACCAAAATACCTTGAGGGTGTTTCGCTGTGGGTGCGAAGAAGATGTTGCCTTCTGGCAGTCTCAGTGCTGTAAGGTGGCCAGCAGCCCTCTGGGGACCTCCGCGGGGTCCTCAAAAATCATGGCCTTCTGCTGCTGTGCCTAGAACTTTAAATAAACAGTGGTGTGACTCTGGAGGTCTCCGGGGCGAGGCAGATATGGGAAATACAGGAATTAGATAGGGAAACATTGTTATTGTTTGCCCAAGAAATAAAAAGCCTTTAAAATTAAGCACAAATAGCTAGCTACACAGATCCTCTTTTATTAGTGTCCTTAAACAGCAGCAGCAGCAGCAGGACCCTCCTGGAGGTCGCTGCAGGGAGAAGCAACGTGAGGGGTGTTCTTTTCTGCTCCCCAGGCAAAAATCGGTTCTCACCCAAGCCAGTAGGTGCTAATCTGCTTAAGCCTGCCTGAGTGGACGCTGTAGATGCTGGCACATGGCCATTTAGGGGTTTTGTTCCCGAGACCCCAGGAGCCCATTTTTCCAAGCGTTCCGCTGGCTTTTTGTTTGATAACGTCTAATTCTAGCAGCAGTTACTCCTTCAGTGAGGATTCAGTGGAACAAAGATGTCCTGAACACCTACTCTTTGGCAGACCCTCTGCTGGGGACACGGAGCTGAATCAGGAACGCTCTCTGGGCTCCAGGGGCTCCCATGAAAGTAGCTTCTCTGGCCGGCTGGCGGCCCCTTTTCTCAGGTGATGGCTATTGTCACCACTTCGTCTACTTGGAAAAAATCCTCTGGCCGCCTTGACTGGCCCCTTTGAATAGGCGCTGACCTTGAGGCTCTCCTCTGGGTCCCGGGGTGCCAGGGTTAATTACTTGCTTGTTGTGGCTGCTGCTTTGTTCTCCCAGCTCCCACCAGCTCCACTGGCATTTGCAATGATAAAATCTGTTTAATGCCTTTTAGTTCCTGTTTTTTTTTTTTACAAAAGCAATATATTTTCATTACAGAAATAATACAGATAAACAAAGGGAACATTTAAAAATCATTCCCCCTGCCTTCCCCCTAAACAATCCATGTTTAATAAGAAAGTATTGTTTTAATTATAAGAGGAATATAATTGCATGTGGCAGAGGGCAATCAGAACTAATTTAGTCAGTGGAAATTAGAACATCTTTTGCCTGCAGTCTTCTCGGTTTGTGCAAAGGATGCCTAGGGTGTAGCCTGCCCAAGGCCCTGTCCTTCTGGAGAAAGACACCAGGAATAGGCACTTTTAGTGCGGGGGCGGGGGGTAAGGCAGCAGGGGTCACAGAGGAAGATGAGTCTAGATGTCTGCACCATTGTTTGAGTAACTGTTGCCACCCAACTATTTCATTCCCAGGGCCTTAGGCAGTGTGTCGTTAACAAATACCTGCCATAACCCATGCATGAGGGGGAGAAGTCTGTGGTGGTCTCAGGTTTAGAGGGTCAGTCCAGGGTCAGTCGGCACCACTGCCTGGAGCCCGAGGTGGTGTGTTCTGATGGGCCAGTGCCAGTCTGGGCTTGGGGACACTGCAGACCCCAGTGAAAGCGTCAGAGATGTACGCTAAGAAATGAGCAATATCTAGTTTAAGAAAGTTTCATAAACTAATGCCCTAATTCCTGGTAAAGAGTGCTTGAATACCATGAAACACCTGCCACAGGGCCAGAACGGTGGTGCTGCTTGGCTTCCCAGTCTGATGGGGAAATAGCTCCCATCCTGGTAGGCGTCGGCCGTACCAAGCTCGTGTCTCCTGGATGTGGAGGAACGGCTTCCCAGGCCGAGGGACTGAGAAGTAGGAACACTTTACCGCGAGAAAGTTTCTGTGGGAAAGGAGGGGTCCCGGAGGGGGTCACAGCAGTGGGACTTTATCCAAAATGACGAGGCGGGAACAACTTGGGTCAAGCCACAGTCCACCCACAGGGTCACGAGGATAGCCGCTGAGCCAGCACTGCTCGGGCGCGATGCCCCGAGCACAGATGTGCGGCTGGCATCTTAGCCCTAACCCTCGGCGTCTTCCAATGACGGAGGAGCAAAGGTGCTCTGCACGGTGGAGGAGGGTCCACAAGTCCTGCTGGCCCGTCTAGGGGTCTGGTGTCCCTCGGGGCTCCCTGGACCGGCGGTGCTAACAGCAGTGGCATCTCAAGCTGCTGCTTGCTGTTTGGCCGCAGGCCTGGCCGCTGTACCTCTGCTGGAACCCTGGCCTTCAGGGGCGCCTCTGGCCGTAGTTTGGATGTGTTCTCAATTCCAACCCACCTGCAACCTCTGCCTGACCCCCTACTAATTTCTAACTGAAGTGTCTCTAATGCCAACATCCTGGGAGACTGAGGCAGGCAAATCACAGGTCAGAAACAAGTCTGGACAACTTGGTGTCTTGGTGAAAGCCTGTCTCAAAATAAAAAGCTGTCAAAGGCTGGTGATGCTGCTCAGTGCAAGGCCCTGGGTTCAGTCCCCGGGCCTGGGGAAAGGAGAGCTTCCCACCTGCTGGGCTCCTTGACGTCTGTTAGCTCCGCTGAGCCTCACAGCCCTGGGAGACAGGTACGGCCACTGTCACCGCGTTACAGATGGTGAAACAGAGGCTCATGGAGGGGAGGATGCCAGTGCACGGCAGGACCAGAGCCCAGAGCAGAAACGACAGCATGGGGAGTAGAGAGTGTGAGCCTCGGGGACCTTGGCGTGCTGGGGCCCTCTGAGCGGCAGTCAGAGTGGGCATGAGGAGTGGGCCTAGGAGAGAAGCGGCCGCTGCGAAGGCGGCCCTCTGAAAGGAGCTCCTGCCCGACCTGCCTTTCCCGCTGGGTCCCTGCCACAGTCAGCAGAGCAGTCATCTTCCAACTGCACGTCCATGGAGGTGCTCTCCTCTGCTACCTGCAAAGCCCACAGAACGGACTCAATTTTAAAGGTGCACCCCTTCCTTTATGTCCCAGAGGAGTTTAAAGTGGGAAATAGAGACTGGGAAGGCCAAGTCCTCCTGCCTCACCTTACACACGGGGCCTCCCCTAACAGGGCTCTACCTGCTCAGACAGATGGGTTTCCACTGTAGAGCACCATTTTAAAGCGGCCAGAAATTAATCTGCCTGATACGTTCATTTGCTGTTAACAGACTTCTTAAATTCTCCTCTCTTTTTGAAAGATTCTAACCATCCCATCAAATTCGCAGCTCCGGGGCACTTTTAATTCCTTCAGGTAGCACTCAGGAGATTTTCAATTAAAAGAAACCCAGGGGAGTGAGCGGCCAGATGGGGTGGGTCACAGTCTAGGGGTTAGGAAAAGATCTGGCAGGCTGCTCGGCAGTCTGCGTAGGCCTCAGGCCACGGTGTGCTGGGTCCTCAGCAACACGTGAGGCTTCATTCTCCGTGCCAGCCAGACCACACTGTCCCCCGAGTTCATTCCTCTGGCCTCCCTCTCTGTTCCCTTCCTCCTCCACCAACTTTCCTTTTCCTGTTCTTCCTCTTGAGAAGTGGTTGACAGTGTCTCAGCCAGCGGGCTCTGCGCTCAGCCCAGGGAGAGACAGGGCGGTCCCCACCCCTACCCTCCTACCCTCCCAGAAGGAAGTGGGGTGCACTGATGCGGGGGCTTCAGGCTGTGTCCTGCAGGCCGCAGGGCAGTGAGGGGGCCGCACTGCCCTGATCAGGAGGCAGCTTCTGTGTGCTGAGCTAGGAAGGGTGAGAGGTCCGCAGGGAGGAGCAGGCTCCCTGCAGCAGGAGCCGGGAGAGGTGGGGTGTTCCTCGGCAGGCCAGAGAACAGGAGGGCGGGCAGTGGCTGGCCCAGCCTTGCAGGGAAGATTGTTAGTGACCTGTAGCGACCTCTGTGGAATCTGGAGATGGATCATCCTTGGAGCTAAAGCAAGGCCAGCCCTAAAAACACAGAGAGCCCCAAACAAGCCATGCAAACAAGCTGTTCCAGCTCCAGAAAGGCAAGGGGCCCAGGCCAGCCAGGCAAATGCATTGCTAGGCAGTGGGGTTGAAATTGACATCTTTCTCCTAAGAGTATAAACACATGTGCACCTGGGCGAGCATGTCCTTCTCTCCGTCAGGAGAGTGAGGGCTCCCCCTGACCCCAGCTCTGTTTGTTCTTTGTTTTCTCCTCTCATGGTCCTTCACCCCAGGAACCTCAGGAGAGCCTCATGGGTCACGGCAGTGACCAAAGCCTCTTGGTTGCGTCCGCAGGTGGGATGCAGTCCTACACGTGGTCTCTGACGTACACAGTGACGACGGCCGCTGGGTCCCCGGCGGAGAACTCCCAGCAGCTGCCCTGCATGCGGAGCACACATGTGCCTCCTTCCTCCGTGGCGCACCGGATACCGGCTTACCCCCGCCAAGAGGAGCATGGGTAGGTACCCTGCCGGGTGCTGCACACCTGAGGCTTGCTCTGCTTCCTCAAAAGACAGGAAGGTGCTGCCCTGCTAGACTCAGGCTGTGCCTGCCACAGCCTGGTGACACGGGCAGGAAGCGCCAGTGAGCCCGCCCACAGCTGGTGCCTGGTGGGCCCAGATGGACCAGGTCCCCCGCAATCCTGAGTCCTGTCGGCCCTTCTGCTGCCCTTGCAGAGCATGGTGCTCAGTGGGTCCACGTGTCTCTGGACTCTGCTCAGAGGTGAGCTCCCGACCCCACTGGCAGCCAGGCCTGCTGGAGGGTCGAGCTTGTTCCCAGGGCACCTACAAATCCAGCACCACCCCACTGAATCCCAGTAGCCTCAGGCCGCTATCCAGAGACACTCACCACACAGTGTGTCACACGGGACCTAAAGTGCTCTCTTCACTCTCAGGAAGAGACCTGAGGCGTGTGTGGCACAGCTGGCCTGGCCAAGGACAGCCAGGCAGACACCCTGAGGCAGGCACAGGCCATTCTGCCCTCAGGGACCTTTTAGGGTGTTTCCCAGATATTCGAGCGGGCTCTGAAAACCCCAGTGCTGGAGGTTTTGAACCTACAGGAGTGGCAGGAGGACACCTGGAGAGGGAGGGGGGTGGGCTGCGTGGACACAGAAGCGACGCACTGTCTACGGAGCTGTGAACCCCCGGATGACCCCACACAGGCGGTTTGCAGATGTGGGAGACATGGCTGTTGGCTAGGACACGGCTGGGCCTCACCTGGCACCTTTCCTGGTGGGGCCCGGAAAAGCACGCAGTCCCTTCCCCTGGTGGCCGAGCAGGGGCCTGAGTGATAGGGGAGACAAAGCCCAAAGCAGCTTCTTTCCTCTTTCACTGCCCGATCCCCTCGGGATGCGAGGGGAGGCTGTGGAGCCAGCTGAGAAGTTTTGTCTCCCTACGGTTCTGTCCTGCTCAGCTCCAGACTCCACTCACTCGGGCCGGGAAGCTGAGCAGAGGGAAAGTCGGCCCAAGGCTGTCCGCGTAGCACAGGGCCATGGGCTCCGGACCCCTGCTTCCTGCAGTCCCGAGAAGGGCCCTCTGTGTCCACACGCATCTGCTGTCCTTTTCTGAGCTGCCCTCCCACAGGCGCTCTGTGCTCTGTCCCTGTCACCCCCACAAAGTCTTGGCAGGACCAGGCCTTGGCGCACCTACGGAGACAGTAGCTCTCCAAAGTGCAAAGAGAGGGAGGACAAAGGAAAAAGACAAAAAGGCCATCACCATGAGAAAGAAATCCTGGCGGCTGGGCTTGCAGGTGCCGAGCCCGTTCGTTCTCCCCGCTGTGACTCACTCGATCCCTTCCAGGTACACGGGAAGCTATAACTACGGGAGCTATGGCAACCAGCATCCTCACCCCATGCAGAGCCAGTACCCGGCCCTGCCGCATGACACGGCCATTTCCGGGCCGCTGCACTACTCCCCGTACCACAGGAGCTCTGCCCAGGTGAGTCTGCCAGCCCCGCCCCGGGGCCGCTGTAGCCTGTGCGTGTGTGACCTGTGTCCCCACGGAGAGTGCAGGCTCCTGCCGGCAGGGCCGTTTCTGTGGAGCTGGGCCTCTGCTGCCCCATTTCTCCCGAAGTCCTTCCAGGGCCGAGGTCCTCCGCACCATGCTGGCCAGCTCACATCTCATGGGCAGGTTCCTTTCAAGCCCAGCCGCCCGCCATGTAATCGTAACCAGAAAAGCCTCTCATGATGGCCTCCCAGGCCGTATCTCCTGTCGGGCAAACGAAACTGGCCACCTCTGCACTGGCTGGGTGGGCATGGGGCTGGACCTGCAGTGGGGGCACCGAGCCAATCGCAGCTGAGCGCGGTTCCCTTTGCGTCTCCACTAACCTGCGCCACTGCTGCCCCAGACGGTGCCTCCCCGTGGCCTCTGTGTCTCCCGTGTCTCTAAAGTGCGCCACGCCTCTGTGCGGTCCCCTAAGCCCATGTGCCCCCCACACTCCCACTTGGGCAGATGAGCACTTCGGGGGTTAAGCCTGATTCTGCTGCGCCTCTCTCCACACCCAACTCCCGCCTCATCTGAGCCAGCCGGCTGGTGTGTGGCCTGCAGGCGGCCGTTCTCCCTGTGTCTTTGCAGGCAGGGTTCCCGCGGGCCGCTGGTCTCTTCCCCCACGTCGGTCAGGACGAGCATGCTCGGTCCTCGTCTGTTCCCTGGCAGTGCTCTGTCCTTTCTCCAGGACCCTGTTAAATGCTGCTCTCTGGCCTTTCTCCTTCATCCCCTGTCGTCAGCAACTTTCCCATCTAACTCTTCAGGAGACCTCGAGCTCCTTGAAGGCAAAGATTAACCTGTGACCCCCTGGGGGTCGAGGCCTGACCGCATCGGGAAGATTGGGCAGCTTTTCTGCACCCTTGTGCATACCAGGCTCCATGCCCGGCACTGTCCACACAGTGCAGAGGCGGTGCGCCTTGGGGGACTTGCCCTCGGTGTGACTGGGACACGAGCCGCACAGCACACAGCGGCCGGGCTTCGGTGCCTGGGGCAGGCGGGACGAGGCTCCGTTACATCAGCTGTCAGCACACAGCCCTGGAGATGGAGGGCCCCGGGGAGAGCGGACCACGATAAGGAGCGCCCAGGGCAAACGGCCGCTGTTTTGCTTTCCATCCCCAGTCCTGGGGGGGAGCCCTGGCATAGTCCCCAGACAGCCAAGGAGCCGATGCCACTAGATCATCACCTGGGGCATTCATTAGCAGTCCGCAAGTGCGTCACACGGAGACGCCAGCTCCTTAGGCGCTGCCTCCTGTGGGAGCAGAGTCCTTGCTCCTCCCCAGTAGCTACTGGGGACAGAACTGCCGCCCGGGCCCCGGTTGCTCAGCACAGCAAGGCCGCTCATTATCTGTTCATTTGTTCCTATAGTGGTCGCTGGGTGCCCAGTGCAGGCAAGCCCTGCGCCAGGTTCTGGACACGCAGGCAGGAGGCAGCCCAGTGCCCACTGTGGGAGGCAACAAGGTAGCAGCTCCGGCCACCGTCTGTCTCCCTTCTCCCTCCTCCCCGGGAAGTTTCAGGAGCTGCTTTTCTGGGGTGATGCTTTTGAAGCCATCGCCGTGACAAGAAGCTACGGTCTTCTAAAGGGTCCTGCGGACCCTGGTGGTAGAAAGAGGTCTGCAGTGTCCCCCAGGGACCACTGTCATCGGATGCCTGTAGGAATAGAATGGCCCAAGGCCTACACTAGAGCTCATGAGGAGCCCTCTGTGTTCAGGGTGGACGGGAGTGGCCCCAGAGTCCTGGGCCAGCCCACCGACTGCTGTGGCACCCTCCGACCCCAACGCACACGCACACGCACAGGCACACGCGCACTGCACTCTGGGGCCCCGGCCTGGCGCTCCATCTGTCAGGCAGCGAGCAGAGTTTGTTCATCACGTGGCACTCTCCCGAGGAAGGCCCTGCCCATGGGCCAAGCAGTCTCGTTTTATTTTTCTTTGGCAATAACTCAGTAAGCACTGTTCTAGGTGCCCTAAAATACAGACCGTGCAGTTCACAGAACAAGCTAAGGAACACAGCATTTTCTCATCTTTAAAGGGGAAGCAGCAGGCTCAGAAGGCAGTGTGCCCCTCGTTGCCCATCCAGATGCCAGCTCTCCAGCTCTCAACCCTGGCTCCACACCAGCAGCCCTGGAACAACTTGCTCTGGGGTGCAATGTCAGCTCAAGAGGCTGAGGCAGCACATGCTCCCGATATCCGTCACCTCCCCTTGCTAGTCCTCAGGTTCATAGCTGAGCGTGCAGAGGGAGCTGCACTGGGGCCGAGGAGTTTTAGCTTTCCAGAGCTGAGGTCAGGCCATCCCAGTGCTGAGCAAATGCGACATTGCTGTGCCGGACTGTGGCCATGTGCACCAGAGGAGAATTGGTGACACAGTGTAGTTATCAAATGCACTTGGTCATCAGCATCAGAGACTCTTCTGCGGGTCAGTGTGACAGGGTTACCTTAGAGAACTGGCACGGGGTCTGGGGCTGGAGCCCAGCAGTACAGCAGCTGCCCTAGGTTTGATCACCAGCACTACTAAAACAAAACAGCAGCGGCCACAAAACCGGATCCGTGCAGGGCTGACGGAAGCCTGTATGCACGCCAGCGTGTGTGCGCTCAGCGCCATTCGAAGTCCTTCACTTCCTGTCACAGAGCGTGTGTGTGCCGCTGTCTAGACTGCTGTTTGCACCATACATGCCTGCTTCTTGTGGGATCCAGTCCTGCGTGGATTCTCCTCGTGTCTAGATGAGTGTCCGGATGCATGAGGTTTCACGGCGCGAGGCTGGAATTAGTTCAGAAAGTCGCCCTTTTTGCTACTATGGAGCCTTTGTTCCCCTCAGAGGAAGTGAAAGGCATGGTGTCAGCTGTCCCTTTCTGGGCCCCCCACCCCCTGTCTGACCAAGAAGAAAGCAAACTAGACCACATAGAGGCTACCAAGTATTTCCGAGCCTCGTTCAATATCCACTCATGGACTCCAGCGGCCATGAATGTGAACTGGTGCCCTGAGTCTCAGGTGCCATTTGATCACCTAGACTGTGTGGCTCGGAATGCACCCTGCATGGACAGAGAGCTGTTCCTATTTTTCCTCTAAATGCCTCAGCTCAGCCTTGCCAGCCAATCACCACCTCTCCTGGACCCTCTAGCTGCCTGGCCCAAACCAGGCCAAGGCCAGCTGGTGCTACAAAGCGTGCTTAGGGCACTCCAGCTGGGGTAGCTTCTTGGGCCAAACAGGAAAAGAAAATCAATGAAGCCTAATGTTCATAAGGCTGTGAGATCTACGGGTACAGAGCCAGCATCCCTGGAACCAAATCCCAGCTCTACCTCCAGTGCATTCTCTGGTTCGATTTCCTCCTCTGACAGATGAGTTAAATACAGTATGTGCCTGATCAGGTTGCTGTCGGGCCAAGCAAGTTAATAAACGCTAGAACAGGGCCCAGCTCAAGGTTAACACTACCTGCATATGCTATCAGGCTTTGTGACATGGTTACAGGATTCTGTAGTTACCCTCTGAGCCCCCGCCCCGCCCCATAAAGTACTAGCTCTGTGTGGTAAGAACCAGGTCCCCTGTGTCTCTTCTCTGTATTCCCAGGGCCAGGCACAGACCCTAAACCATAGTGGGTGCTTGTTAAGTACCACCACAGAAGGAACAAACGAACGAACGAATGAATACTCATCCTGGTACTAAGTTGCTGTATGACCCCAGTAGGTCTGCTTGACCTCGACTCTCTCACCAGTGAAGTGGGGTGGGGCACGCATGGGGTCAGCCACTGAGCTCTGCCTGTCAGTAAGGTATCTCAGAAAGGGAGGTATTTTGCTAACTGATACACGAGAGTGACAGGTGTCCCACATACACTAACTCCTAACCCTCAGAGCTCTGCAGATGTGGGCTGTCTGGCAGGCTTTGGGGAGCTACATCCTCTCCCAGAGGCAGCGGGAGGAAGCTGGCCCGGGGGTGGTGCTGGCAGCGCTGGGCACCCTGAGAGCCGCCTTTCATAGGAAAACAGTTTGTGCTCTGGACTTGGCCACCTCTCACCCCTCACTCAAGTAGCAGCACATTTGGGAAGGCGCAGGGATAAAGGGCTCATTCTTCGCTCTCCAAGTGTAGGAAAGTCAGCCCTGGTGTGGGCGTTGGTTCCCAAAATAGACTTCCTAAGGCGGGTCCAAAGAGGCCAAGAGTCAGTCCCAGCTGAGCGGGACTTGCACCACAACCGTCCGCGGGACCTTTGGCCGCACTCCCTCGTGCGTGTGTGCATGTACACGTGTTCACAAGCAGCCTGCACACGCCCCTCCCCGGGGTGCTAACTGGCATTCAGCAACTGATTTGACCCCACTCCTGATCTGCCCCCTGGCCCGGGAATGGTTGCTACTCCTTGTGGGACTTCAGCAAAAGTGTCTTTATTCTGGAAGGAGCTCTCAAGACCCAGGGTCTGGACCGTGCACATGCAGGGGACTTACGCAAAAAGCAGAGGGGAAGGGCAAGAGGTGAGGTGATGCCGTGGGCCAGCCCGGCCACACTCGCACACAGGACAGAAGCTGCGCTGGCGTGGCCCAGGAGCAGGCGCGAGAGCCACCCCGGCTCTCAATGGCCCCTTCACCGAGGGGAAAACGAGTCCCTGACTCATCTGCAATTAGCTGACATGGCAGGACAGGGTTTTCCACGCCGGATTCGGTGGTGACAGAACCGTATTGTGGCGCCGGAGATATTTTGAGCCTGTCTCACCGCCCGGCACTTGCTCTTTTGATCCCTGACAAGCTCTGGGGCACAGCTGCATCCCCAGCAAGGCGCAAACGCCACTCTCGAGTCCTGGGGCTGGAGCTTCAAGTCCGTCCTGTGACATTTACTGTTCCCGAGCTGGGGCCAGGGCCCGGGAGGGTCGGCCCTCCAGGTCAGAATGCCCAGGCCACGCCGTGCCATGGGGAGGAGGGAACTTGCGGAAGAAGGAAGACAGAACGGGGAGACTGAAGCGCGAGGGTGGCCCCAAGAGGCAGCGCCGTCCTCCCGTGACCTGGGAGGGCAGGCCAGCGTATGTGGGGGCCGATGCCCGGGACTGGGTCCTGCCCTTGCTGTGTGGCTTTGGGTGCAGGTCTTGGTTGTCTCATCCCCCCAGTAGGGGGTCGGACTGCATGGCCCTCAGGTCTCTTTCTAGTGTTACTGTCCCCGCGTTCATTCTTCAGATGTAGCTTAGCACCTGCTGGGTGTCAAGCGCCCTGTGCAGTGCTGGGAACATAGGGTGCGCAGGGCAGGGCCCGAGGAGTGGCGGCAACACCCCGTCCAAGGGCTCGGCCTCCTGACTGGACGTCCAGGAGAGGTGACGGTCACTGCACATGTGCCAGGAGCCCTGGGGTAGGGTGGCCTGAGAGGGGAGCTCAGTGTGCCAAAGGCCCAAAAGGGAGGTTGCCCAGTGGCAGTGTGAGGCGAGGTGGCACACAGCAGCAGGAGGGACGCTGGTGTCCCTTCCTACTGAGACGGTGCACGTGTTACCTGTTCAGTGTCCCTGGACTGTGTTTCCTGGGCAGGGCCCAGGGTCTTCAGATTGAAGCTCCTGAGGATCCCCACCTCGCCCGTGCCCTCCTGGGCCCCATACTGTGCCACAGCACAGCGGACCCAGCTGGCCTTTCTGATCTGACATGAGGTTTGGAGCCCCAGGCGCGTCTGGAGTGTCCTTGGCAACAGCCCTCTGCCTTTCCCTGAGTTCCCAGACACCACCTACGCTCTCCTTCCTTTCCTGACTGCTCTCTTCACTGTGGACTGGCTGTCTCTTGCTGTGCCCTGCTCAGCAAGGGGACCTGGTTGTAGGTCCTCTTTCCAGGGCCTCAACAGCACACTCTCTTCAGATGCTTTGGGCTTAGGCGCCTCCCCAGTTGCCCTTGAGTGCCCAGGCTGAGGGGCAGCGCGGTGCCCACGACTGCCCAGACGGCAGGGAACAGTCATTGCTGTCGCCAGCCCTTGGGCCGCTGTCTGGCTCCCTCCCAGGAGGAGCCGCCCCAGCCCCTCAGGGCTCCACTCTGCAACTGTCAGGCCAGACAGATGGGGAGCAGCAGAATCCACTGCTCACACACCGCAGCCTCCTCCGCACTGCCCCCGCGGCCCTGCTGATTGGCTCCTGTCCCACCGGGGTGGCCCTCACTCCAGCACAGGGCACGGCAAGGACAGCCCCTGCTGACCACCTCCAGCCCTCGTTCCCTCCCTTCCTCCCCAGTGATCTGCGAGGGAGGAGGGACTGATTTGCATAGCTGTCTTGGTAACAGAAAAGAATGTGAAAGTGGCAGAGCTTCAGAGGTCCCTGGCCTCCCCCTCCTCCCCTCCCCTCCCCCCTCCTTCTCTCTCCCCCTCCCCCTCCCCTCTTCCCCTCCCCCTCCTCCCCAGCACCTCCCCTTTCCTGGCTTGCACAGCTACTCACACCTGTTCACACTCTCTCCTGCCTGCTCCCTGGCTGCTCCTCACTCTTCTCCCACAGTTGCAGCAGCTCAGCCATTTCCCTTTCCCACTCAGGAAAGGAGAGACACTCTCTAAGTGCTAGGCACTAATAATAACCATTGAAGCTGTTAATTTGCTTTCTCTCCAAAAGCCTGCAGTTCCTAATTGAATTCAACTGTAAAATGCTATTTTTAATACCATCATTGTGTTTGGCTTGGCCGCACTGTTCTTCTGGGTGGATGGAGTGGGACCTAGCACACCTCCATAAGCACTGAGGAAACGCACCGCCATCAGCCATACCTCCATGTTTATCTGGCTTGCTGTTATTAGCACATGCATGTGCACACACATACACACGTGCACACACACACACACACACACACACACACACGGTGCCTCGAGTCTTTCCGGGGCGTTTTCCTCCTTTTGGGTTTGACTTCCCAGCGTATTCCAGGGGAGCCCAAGGCCAGACGTGGCTGCAGAGGACGCCTGGGCTCCAGTGAGTGGTGTCTTAAGACAGCTGCCCGTAAGCTGAGCACGTGACTGCTGTGGCGTGTGTGCGAGCCCACGCTAACCCTGCCTTTGTGACATTTCTTCCCCTCGCCAAGTACCCTTTCAACAGCCCTGCTTCCCGGATGGAGCCCTGCCTGATGAGCGGTGCCCCCAGGCTGCACCCCACCGCAGTCACTCCCCGCTGGCCGGAGGTGCCCACGGCCAACGCCTGTTACACCAGCCCGGCTGTGCACTCCACGAGGTACGGGAACGCGAGCGACGTGTACACACCTCTGAGCGCGCGCAGGAATTCCGAGTACGAGCACATGCAACACTTCCCCGGCTTTGCTTACATCAACGGAGAGGCCTCCACGGGGTGGGCCAAGTGACTGCTGCCGTAGGAATCCGTATTTAATAATAATATAATAATAATAATAATAATAATAAGCCCAATACCCGCCCTCCAGAAGACTTGATCCGTCCTGTCGGTGGGCTGTTCCCAGGCACCCACTGTCCTCATGAACCCGAAGATATCCAGTATGAGAGGAATAAACGTTAGTTCAGAAACAGGTCTCACTAAAAGTCACTGGGACTGGGTTCCTCGACTGGGCAGGCGGCTGTGCCTCCCACTGTGCCCCCCATTCTGCCTTGTGTGGGCGACCCCTCCCGTAGGCTACTCACTCTCCTGTTGACACTGCGAAGCCCGTTATTCTGGAAGGATGGACCCCAGAATCCAAGTGTGGGTTGTACTCTCACACGGGCAAATGTCATTGGTCAAGAACAGTTGCCTCCCTCCTGGTGGCATCGTCCAGGTGACTCCGGGACGTGTTGGGGGCTCGAGGTTGGTTCCCCGTGCTGCTCACTTGTGCCCGCCAAGCACCTGCCTGGCCCGGGCACAGAAGCACTGTTGAGCGGAGGAAGAGGCCCGTTCTGTTGCCTTAAGTGGACTGAGGTCCGTAGGGGACAGGTTCCTCTGCGTACAAGGCTTTGTCCTGAATTTGCACATTGGTTAGTGTCAGCAAGAGGCAGGAGAGGGTGTGGAAGTCCTGTGAGAATGTGGTTTACGGCCGTGAGTGTCACCCTCAGCTCTGCTGTTAACATTCTGAAGCTGTTTGGACCAAACTTTAACTTAGCAAGCACCAAGTGTGAAAACGACTTTCCTAGTTTCTTTGTAAGACTATAATAATTTCCGACACTTTGATAGAAAGAGATTCAAAGCTGTGCCTTTGAGCCTATGCTATACTATGTATGTGTGGAAATAAAAAAAATGTATTGTACTTTTGGGGAAAAAATTTTTTTTCGTAGGCATTTTTCTGTCAGATTTGTAGTAATTTGTGAGGTTTGTTAGAGATTAACATAGGCTTTCTTTCTGTATTATAAAATGCACCAAGCAATTATGGTGGACCTATTACCCTATGGGTAAGAAATAAATGGAAATAGGACATCGGATATTTTAGCAATTGTTCTGTAAATAAAATCGTTGATCACACCTCTCAGTGTGATAATCATGTCTACAGCTAAAATGGAAATAAGTTTTATCTGTACAGTTGTGCAAGATACGAATGGTTTCACACTCAAATAAAAACATTGACGTGACTTGCTTTCTTCATTTGGTTTTACGTTTGGCATGGCTTCTGTGCATGTAATCGAAATCGCACTCTTCAGTGTTGGGCTGTAAGTAGGTAGAAGGAGAAAGCCGTGCGCTCGGTGGCTGCGCTTCCCGTCGCCCCATCTTGTTATACCACGGTCATTAAAATGTGGAAAGTGGCACATCCTGCCTTGACTGATGACAAAAAGTCAGCGCGGCACCTGCAGCCTGGCGAGGGGTCCGGGGACCTGCGGGCCTCCTTCCTAAGTTTGCACAATCCCAATATCGGCAAGAGGCAGCAGCAGCCTTCAACTCCTGCAGGCAATGTCGTTCTGCACAGCAGCATCGCCGAGCATGGTCCTGGCCTCGGTTCAGCGCTGGCTGTGGAGACATTTCAAGTGCAGTGCTTTAAACGCTAGGAAGCTTCTGGACAGAATGGTGACGTTACGGAACACGCAGAAGGATTAAGCCCTTCTCCAGCACAGTGTTGTGATTCTTAGCTGTGAGGATTGGAATATAGAAATAAAATGACTGTGTTCTGCCCAAACATTAGGAATACAGAAGCGAAGGGAAGTTCAGAGCCATCGCTTACCTGAAATGGCAGTCGTGACAGGGTTAACCCAAAGGCACGGCATTTGACAACTCAATTTGCATTTTGAAAGATTTATTTTTAAAGCCAAGCTCTGACTTGCTATTACATAAGATATTTATACCTAAAAATGATTCTAAGGTGAAAGTTATTTCTATATTATATATAGCATCTCCTTAAATATATTTGGCTATGTTGTCCTACAGTAAGGAAAGTAGATGTTGGATTTCACCCTCTGACACTATGTCTGCTTTATCTTTTGTCCATAATCCATCAGGTAGCTTTGCACCATGCAAGTCAGGGGAAGAATGAAGTGTCAGGATTAGTCAGTGTCTAGAATAAACCTGCTGACGACCAGCCCCGCTACACTCTTACGTCGAAAGCTAGCGCTCTGGGTGTGAAGAACGTTGCTAGCCTGACTTTTGGCTTAGCACAAAAAATTAAGTTCTCACCGAATTCTCTAGCCACGTAGCAGGGACACATGACAAGCCACACCCATTTCCAAGGGACAGCATTAAATGCACACCTCGAGGCAAAAATGTCACGGTTAGCAGAGACGTGAGGCCGAGAACAGCAGGCACTCCGGGAGCCTCTGGTGATGGCCCACCAGCTGCTTCCCAGCTCGGCGAGAGTGGGGAGGAGGCACTGCCAGCTCTGTGGCACAGAAGGCAGTGGGAGCGGGGGCCAGTGGTCACCCTGGGCTCCAGTCGTCCTAAAACCCTCAGCGTCAGGACCGGGAAGGATCAGATTTGGACAGGCAGCAGGTTCCGTGAGCACGCGGCCCCAGGCACTCTTTCCCCGGCACTGGTGGCTCACTAGGGCACAGAGTAGGGATGGCGAGGTTGGTAGCGGGAGTGGGTCCAGTCACTTGTTAGAAGCAGAGAACAGAGGCGTGTTGGCAGGAAGGGTGCTCCCCTCCTAGGCCTTGTGCTGAAAAGGGCTCTGCCAGTTTGAAACGGGCTGAAGTCAGGCGTGGCAGCCAGGGCAGCTCACCCACGTTGCTGCCTGTGGCGTCCCGGGCACGCATCCCGCTGTGTCCTTTGTCAGGTCTCTGGTATACCCCAGAGGCTGAAGTCATGGGAAGGGCCCTGGCCCCCCACCAGGTGGCATTGCCTGGGTCACCTTCCCTGCCTGGTCCCCAAGCAGGCGCTTCCATGAGTCTGACATTCCGAATTACGGTCCATGGGCTGATGGACTCGGGCTGGCAGGGCTGGGTGTGGAGGGCGGACAGTTAGGGAGAAGAAGAGACAGGCCGACTGGCAGCTGGGCAACGACCCGGGTGGAGAGAAGGCACCGGCCCAGCCATCTGGTGCCAGGACACAGACTGAGGGTCCTGACATCGCCATGCCATTCACCTGCGCCATCACACAGAAGCCCCTTTCTTCCCCACCCAGAGCCCCCACTCCTGCCCGCCACTCTGGACAGAAGCCCCTTCAGAACTGGCCTGAGTCCTTTGGCTTCGAGTCCAGTCCACCCACACGTCGCAGGCCAGGCCTGGAGGAGGACGAAGAGGACATGGCTTCCTGTGGGATAGTGTCTGTCCCAGCTTCTCAGTCTTCAGGCAGACTGCAAGGTTTTTAAAATATTAAACTCTGGGGAGAAGCAAAGCATAATACTCTATTTATGGCAGTGCAGGGCATGGACTGGGCACTACAGTGTCCTGGAATCTAGGAGGAAAGCCTTCTGAATTTCACATTGATTTTTCTTAGCTGAGGTGTTGTTTCAGGAAGAAGAGTTCATTACGCCAGAGGTTTGTGTATAAAAAGGCAGTTTCTCATTTGTGTCCCTTTGTGTTTGTCAGAAGTTGTGAGTGTGAGCCGCATTAGCCCACCGGGTTCCTGCTGTAGCATGCGGGCTCTGCTTCTCTCTTACCTGCAGAACAGATGTTCCTCTGAAGACCACAAGTCTTTGCTTTAACACCTTTGCTTATGTGAAGCCTTTTAATTCTATTTTATATTTTATTTTATTTTGAGATAGCATCTTGCTATGCAGTACAGGCTGGTCTGGAACTCATGGTGATCCTCCTGCCTCAACCTCCCAACTGCTGGGATTACAGGTGCACCACCGCACCCAGACGCTGATATGCGTAAACCTCAGATGTTACTACATTCTGTAATCGATAGTGCTTGAACCAGTGATCTCTTAGATAAAATTCTGCCCCATTGCCAATGTAGAAAAAAAAGAAAGAAGAAAGCACTCTGCATGTCGTGAGAGGGGAAGCGGAGGCACGCCAATCACTGTGACTGGAAGGTTTTTCCAGCCGATGGATACACTTACCGGTTCCCAAGTGAGCCAGAAGTGAGGTCCCATTCTGGTTCCACCCGGGTGTAGGCGGAGCCTTGCAGTCACTCACTAGTGCGCGTGCGGTCAAGGTGGAGGAGGATGCCCCTCCACCTGGACACTGGCTCACGTTTCCTTTGAACGGGACTCCCTTTTCCAGGTGGGGGCAGTGCCCTAGCGAGCAGGGCTCCTGCTGGCCGCCCTGTGCAGCCGTCCGTCCCCCTGTCCCGTCGGCAGACCTTTCCCTAGCTCTGGGGCTGGGCTGGCCCTGCAGCCATGCCCGCTCCCTGCCAGTCTGCTGCCCGCTTCCTCTTCTAACCTGGAACTTCTCTGCTTGGGCTCCTGGGAGCTTCTCAAGCACAGCCTGGACACAGTCTTCGGGGCTTCCTCTCCTTCCAAGGAGCTCAGAATCTTTTGAGCTGCACCGGCCTCCTGCTCCCTGAATCTCCTCCATGTCTCCTCCTGCGTGCCAGCACCCCAGCCCTTGCACCCCCATATCGTGCCACCGCTGGTGTAGGTGGGGCAGAAGATGTGGGCACCGAATTGAAGAAAGCACTGTTGCTAGGAAAGGAGCGTGGGCGATGCGCCATGGTGGGCGGGAGAAACAGGACTCCGCAGTTTCACGCCTCCCGTTCTCATCATGAACGCCTCGCCTCCAGAAAACCAGTTGTTGAAGATCTATTATGAAAAAGAATGAGTTCTGACCGTGCCAGAAGCTGTGCTACTTATTTATAAGTCTTCTAAGAAGGGTGGGGAGAGTGGATCCCAAGGGCAGGGAGCTGTGGCCCAGTGAGCCGGCCCCCAGTGCCCTGATCCACGCTACACCGCTCAGAGATGCTGCTGCCGATGTCCGCCCGAAGTCTGCAGAGAGCTGAGGTCCATCGGAGCGGAGGGCTCTGAACCCAGCCCAACCTGCCCCGTCTTGGGTCTCCCGTGCATCAGGCCACAGCATGCGTCTTCTCTCCTCACAGCCTCCGCCATGGTCACAGAGTTCTGGGGTGGAGGTGGGGGCAGCAGAGACGGGAAACCTGGACACAGAGGCCCAGGTGAGAGGATCACCTGAGCCCAGGAGTTAGAGTCCAGCCTGGGCAACCCAGGGAAACTGGCTCGGAAGGCCGGAAGAGCCCTCCCCAGGTCCTTCCATCATGCTCATCCCTACTTCCGAGCTTTGTTTTGTCTTCCTCACTACTGAGGATTGAACTCACGGCCTAGGACATGCCAGGGAAGCATTCTGCCCTGAGCTACACCTCCAGGCCCCTCCTTCCTACTTTTGTTCCCACAGCCTATCACACCCCGCCCCCCGCCCCGTTCCCATCCCCTAAGCAGCTTTGCAGTTTTTAAATCAATTTTGAGTGTGGTAATAGAACCTGCTGGACTCCAAGAGAGCTTCAGAAGTTCTGGGAAATGTCTGCCCACTCAATGCAGGCAGTTTCTAAGTGGGTGCCAGGTCTCCCTGCACCCCAAGCAGCATCCACTGGCTACACGTAAAGGGCAGACGAGCTGGCCCCCCACATCATTTCCCAAGACATTATCGAGGACCAAGATTTGGAGGAACAGGAACAAAGAAAGTCAGTAATAACGTTAAAAAAAATACCAGGTCACAGGAGGATTTTTATTACCAGGTTGAAAAAAGGCTCTGCGGGGGAGGCGCAATGAGCCAGGCACTCACCAGAATGAAGTCATGGGGTGTGTGGGGGAGGAAGAGGGGTCTGGCTACCTCTTGCTGTTAAGGTCGCTACCCTTTGACAGAGGTGGCCTCTGACCCCAGCAACCCTACAATTCTGTTTTGACTGACCCCGAAACCCATGAAATTCAGATGGAGGCCCTGCCCAAAAGTTGAGCTAAAGCTGAGTAATATGGGAAAAGCTCCCGGTATGTGCCCCCAGCTGAAAGGAGCTGGCAGCTCTTTGGCGGTGGATGCAATTTATTCTGTCCTCCTCCTTTGAGGGAAATGCTAATCCTTCATAGGCAACTCGAGGGGAAGACTAAAATGTGTTGATGATGAATGACAATAATCCTTTGTCCACTGCCACCTCCTCCTAGGGTTGAACCTTAAGAGTTTAATCAAATGTTGGTAAGTAAATTAATGCTTTACTTGGAAAGGTGGTGGGAAGAGGGTTGTGAGAACAGATTCCCTCT